TCGATGCAGCTGCGAGGCGCTTCATTGCACCTTGCGGGGCTACCGTGCGGCGGCCTCCCTTCGAGCCCACATGTGATGCGTTGCCCGCGGAAACTGGCGTTTCTACACGAGCTTTCTTGTTCCTGCCCAGCGCTGTCGTCCAACCCGGGCGATTGGCTTCTTCGTGAGAGATTTCCTCTCCTTCCACCATCTCTACTTCGAGCATGTTGCCCCTTTTCTCCCGCCCCTCGCCGTCGACGCTAGGCTGAGCCCGGTAGGGTTAGCCGAGCCGTGGCGCGTTCCACAAGAAAAGTTTCAATAATTGGGCAAAAGGACCACTCACCGAAAAAAGTCTGGTATCGACGTGATCCTCAGAAGAAACTGCGTCGAATGAAACGCAGCTCGAGCACAGGAACCACAAAAATCCTAACGAAAACATTAACAGAAACGGGAGCCGATTTTCTCGCGTCCGCACTGGTCGGCGCCCCCTGCGTCTCCTCGTGACAGAGGTGACCGAGCTTGCTTTTGGCGTGACCGAGCTTGTTGCGGTTTTCCAGAGCAAAACGAACCCACCAACGCCGCTGGCGTCGGTGGTTTTTCTGCTCTTCGTGCATTACAAGACAGCCACTTGCCAGCAAAGTAAGCAGTACTGTTTTTTCTTGCTTCTTGCGTACGAGAATCGTCGAAGTATACACCACCGGATAGCGTAGTAGCGTTTGCGAGCCGCGACAACAATCGGGTGACAGCGCATCCATCCCGCGTTAGCCCCGTAGTAGATGGCATATTCGGCGGCGCGGGGCGCGTCCAGTGCGAACGACGCTACGTTTCGGCGGCAGGGGAATTTCGGTCGCTGTAGAAAGCGGATGTTTCAGTGTGAACTAGGCATAATGGCGTGACCGGTCCACCAGCGAACGAGCGGAGAACACCCTTCGTCCTCTTCGTCAGGCAGACACGCGCATCGTCCTACAAAATGTCAACATGCCTATAGCAATATCAAGATTAAAATTATTGCAAAAGTAATGTAAGTCGATCAGTTGAGGCTGAGAATATAGAACGGCAGTTTCACTGTAGTACCCTCAACTGACCTATGGTGTTGGGCGCACCGCAGAGGCGCATGCCGCGCCCTTGTTAGCATCTTTACGCGAAATAGCTGATTCATTCCGTTTAGTTTTCGACTTGAGATCGGTGAAGATAGGGGATCTGGTACGTTTATTAGTTCGCATATCGAGTTCCATGTTCGTTGCAGCACAATTGTGCTCGGCTGAGGCGTATGTCGGTCCAAGTGCACCTGCGTTCCTGACTGCTTAGCGTTGTCTGCAGATGCAGAAAGTTCGTCCAACACTACTTCGCGTAGCTGAGTGGCATTGCTGGTAATGTCCGATACTGCAGGTTCTGTACTAGTCTGTACTTTTTGCCCAATCTGATTTGAAAGAATTTGCACTAAACAGTCAGAAAGGTTAGATATGAGTTTATACATTGCCTTACTCACTGCCTTTTCCACAGCAGTTTGAATAGCCTGCGATAGATTTGAATTTATACTGAAAGTGTAGCGCACTGTAATGCCTGAGTATCGAAAAGCCCTGTCTGTAACAATGTCAATGGCTTCCCTTCGAGAACAGAGACGGTGGTCGATAACTTCTAGGATTTGAATTTCCTAGGAACGAGCGGAACAGTCAGAGTATTCGGCGCAGTGACTCCCCCCATAGAGACAATACTTTTCCGCTGTCGCTGTGCACTTGCTTGAAGGATGGCTCTCTCCACAGGTGCTACAAAGAACGTTAGATTTACATCCTCCCGCACTGTGGCCAAATCTCCAGCAGTTTTTACGCTGAATCGGACGAGAAGCGAGGGGCTCTACTCGAAATATCAATGGCCCTAATTTTATTTCTGACGGACATGTTGTGCCTACAAATATCGTGATGACAGATTCGGTTGGTACCCTCTCTTTGGCACAAGAGAGGGTACCAACCTCTCTTGTGCCAAAGAGAGGTTGGTAAATCGAAATTACATCGGTAAATCGAAATTACGCCTGCTCCAGAGGGCCTGTCTAGGGTCTCAGCTGGACTCAGCTTTGAGTCGACTCCCCGTACATGGCTTTTGGTACATGCAAGGTCAGGCGGAATGAAAGCACTCAGTGGGGTAGCGGCAAACGAGGTGCAGTTGAGAAGATCCTGCACGCAGGTATGATCCGGCGACCTACACATGATACCTCCTCGCTTAAATGGGCGCACATCTGTGATGGTCTGGAAATGGTTTGAAGTGGTTTTAGGTTCCTTTTTAACCGCCTGAGGGTTCGTAATTCTGATGAAGCCCCCGATTGTGCGCACCAGTGTCACTGGAATGCTGTCGATACCACTGCGGAAAAAGGTGTCTAGCGGAAATAATTAGATGGCAGGGACGCTGACCAGGTGGATCGCGCTTGGCCAGGAGAAGAAGTCGACATGAGCACTAGAGATAGGGTTAGACTCAGAAACAGATAAACTAGAGAAGCGAACTCTAAGACAGCAAAGTTAAAACCACTCAATCCTCAGCCAAGAGCACCCCAGCAGGTTTCGCAGGAGCAAACTTTAAGGCGTGAAAGGCGTTCTTCTGACAGGTGTTCTTCGCTGAAAGGAATAGCCGAAATGGCGGACACCACGAAAGAGCCGGTGGGAGTTGGTTTGCGGTGAACTCTTGCAGCGAACTCCATCGAAACCAAAAATAGCCCAGTGACACACGCCTATACCTCACGTGGATGTAATGGCGCGTTCCTCGCTAGCGCGTACCCCTAAAAACATCGCGGCTGGACTACAGAAGCGACACGACGCGCTCAGCGTTTTCTTGAATCACAAAGTTAAATAACACATTAACAGGCCGAGGGATGGCACCATTAGTACAATTTCTACGTGAGATGAACTGGTCCCAGTTGAAGGCCAGCTGGCTTCAGCGGGGAATCAACTGGGAACCGTTGGTTTCAGTTTCGAGTAGTTCAAGTTAGTAGCTGGCCCTAATTACAGCTCAACTGGTTTCAGCTAGGAACAGCTAGTTGGTCACAGTTTCAAGTGGTTCCAGTTAGCTGGTCCCCGTTTCAGCTCAACTGGCCGACAACAGATCTACTATCACCAGTTGAACCAGAAGCTGCTGGTCCCAGTTATATCCTAACTGGAAGTGCAACATGTACGGGTAGTACACTTTTTCACAGTGAAAGAAGAAAAAATCGATTGGGCATGACGTAAAATTGTTCCACTTGAAGAAATGGGCTTTATCCAGGAGTGGACTATCCAAAGTTCAAATGAACCGCGCTCTCTAATTTAGGGGCCTCCTGAGGTCCAGAAAGACGGGCGACTTCGTTGTATAGCGTGAAAAAATTTAGCCTTCCTGCTACAACCGCAGAAAATATGTGTGCAATGAATGTGCTTCCTTCTTCTATAGCACTATGAGAGTGAATATTGCCAGCAAAAATTTAACGGTAAAAACGGAAGATTTAATTGTACATAAATGAAAATATCTGTGGTCGTTTTTTGAGTGTTACTAAACACAACATTACAAACAAAACACACATTACAAACAAAAGATTTTGTAAAAGTTATACACGGATCTCACTTTTTATAGGCGCTACCTTTTTTAATAGATTTGGCCCACCCCCTTCCCATATTGAAAATATTTTAACTTTAAACCATTTGTACATGCATATACAATATGCATGAAAGAACTATGTCGAAATGGGGCCTTAGGTGAGCTTAAATGTGTGTTGTTCCATGAATACAAGCGTAGCTAGATGATTGTTAGCATATTTATTGTAAGTGCGTGCTGACATTTTCTGAAAAAAGGCCCACATGTCAACTTCGGCAGTGCTCGCACGCAGGCAACCAAAGCGTGCGCTACCGAATCAGTGAAGCTGAAGCAGATAGAGGAAGCTATTTTTCACAAGAATGCTGCCTGATTTTCGAGGGAAGATGTACTCTCTTGAAATGGGAATAAACAACGCTATAGGTTGAGACGAGTGGAAGAAACACACACAGTGCTTGGACTGCACTTCTGAATGTCGTATGCATTCCTTCTTTTCGTCTCAACTTCTCGCTCAGTTTAGTCATTCTTCAATATGATACAACGAACCACACATATTTTAATAATGTCCCTGTGTCTTCGTCTTGTGATATAGTTCATTATTACGATAACAATCTTTCCACGTGATCCACAAGAAAGAGAACGCTCACGTGATATTAAACACTCCGGATATGGCTTGCGTTCTTTGCAGCTAAATCCAAATATCGTCAAGTTTTATGCATGACCATATGACAAAGCGTGAAAGAAAGGGGGTGAAAGAGAAGCAAGAGGCCCCTTTTATTTTTTAACCGGGCCTTCCGCACTGTTAACCCGGCACTGGCTTTATCCAAAAGTTCTTTTTTTTTCTCTGTCTATATACACACGGAAGCGTACCGGCCGAACCAGCAGCCGAGTAAGACATATAGGACGATAAGAAAATGACTGTCTCATAATTTGCGAATTTATTATCTTATTTTTTTCTCGTCTTCAGTGCGTTACTTTAATTCACTCACTCGATTGATATAATATTAACGTGGAATGTTCAGTTGCAACATTGCGAAAACAGATTGCATCCAAACGTATACGCTTGTTTTAGTTTCAGTTAATCTAGCTGATTAAGTTGTTGCCAACATTTTTAAGTATAATACACTGACAATACGCAGGCAAAGTGGTCCCGACTGACGTGAGGCTGTAATATTGCCGAATTATCTCACACAGAGCATGTCTGCATGCCCCCTGTATTACGCGCCGAGCGAGACAGGAAAAAAAAAAAAAGAGAGAAACATGTTAACTTCTCATGTACACGGTAGTTGAGTGTACCCATCTAAGTAACTTGCCGCATGGCCAAACTGCGCTTCGCAACAATTCTATCACCCCGTGATCACTATTCAAATCTCCCACTGGAATGTAGCAGCAGCCGGCGAGCGAGCAAGCCGTCGCAGAGGGAACGGCTGGCAGCACCGTGCAGTCACGTGACGCACGGGCCATTTGTGCGAGCTAAAATGGCCGTGGTCCCGGAGCAACCATACAACGGTTCTGTCCCACCGTTAAACTCGCCTCCTGCAAGCTACGAACAGGACGACAGGGTTGCACTGTCGGGCGAGGTAGGCTGCTCACAATCCCTCCTTCACAGCGGGCGCGCGCGAGCGCGAGCCCCGAACATAGCGCGTTGACCTAACAGCAGCAGCGGGCTACGCACGGGCCCTGCTGCCATGCGCGCATCCACCGTCCCTTACCGCAGCGATCGGCCGTGCACGTAGTCTGCGAGACTAAAGCACCTGCCGAGTGCTGCCAGCAAAGCGACAGCAACCGCTGGAAGCGCGCTCGTCGGCGCGGCTGCTGAAGTGTGTTTTGTAGTGGGCCTCGAGCGGCCTGGCGGAGTACGTGCGTTGCTGCACACTTCGACGTTTCTCTGGTGGTATCTGTTGCACGCGCGATGCCGTCGATCCGTCGGAAAGTGGCCTCCAGCGCAATTGCGCTTGCCGAACGGTAAGGCGCAATGGTTTGACCCGACCGATGGCGGGAGACCGCTAACCCAAGTCTCGTGCTGTGGCTGTTGGTGGCCAGCTCGCAAATGAGCATTTGTTTACCATCGGAAGTCGTGGCGCCTCCGCGGTTGGGCCTTTCTTCGTTGAACGCTAGCATGACCGTGCTCTTTCGTTTGTTTCAAACGTGACCCTGTAATTACTTTCGTAAGGTGCGTCTTTTCGCCGGCTTAGACTCGCGTTCCTTTTCCGCCAAAGCGTTCTTCCCTCCCTCCCACCTGTGTGCCTCGATATCTATTGGTGCGAGGATTGTTGCATGAACACTGCCTGCTGAATCCAGCCGTGCGCATGGCCGCAGATTAACGATGTCACCGCGTTCTTTTCTCAACGCCGGTGCGAAACAGCATGAAGCTTTGTGACGAGCTTTTGCGCCAGGTCGTTACTTGCCTCCAGCCCATGGGACAACCGAGCATCGCGACAGCGTATGATCCGCACAAGCACGGCCTTGATCTTAATTATGAGCTGGACCTTATTATTGGAGTTTTCATTAATCACATCGCGCATTCGCTGCATTTTGGTTGTCTTCAACGTAGTAACTGCCCTTGCACCAGCTAGGACAACAAGAAAAAAATGGGAGATTTCCTTCAGCCTGAAACACAATTTTTGTGGCTGCCTCATCACAAAGGCACTTTTCATCATTGATTTTTGTTGCTTGCCAACATTTTCTGTGATAGTGTTTATTCGGGAAAAAGCATGCGGTTGTAGAATTTAGTTGAAGGGGTTGTAATGCAATGAAAAGGCATTAATTTAAAGCAAGAGTTTTAAAAAAAGATGACATTTCAAGAAATAATTTAATGATTATGGGCATGACATTGAAACTAGCCCAAGCAAAACAGTAGTACCTGAGCCTGGTTGATTAATATGTGGGGTTTAACTTCCCAAAACCACCATATGATTATGAGAGATGCTGTAGTGGAGGGCTCCGGAAATTTCGACCACCTGGGTTTCCTTAACGTGCACCTAAATCTGAGCACACAGCCCTACAGCCTTTTCGCCTTCAACGAAAATACTGCCGCCACGGCCGGGATTCGATCCCGCGACCTGCGGGCCAGCAGACCACCAGGGTAGGGCGCAATATCTGAGCCTAAACTTCAGCTCAACTGAATGTGCTTGAACCAAACCTGAACACAGCATTAACCTAGAACGAATGCCTGTTGCATTAGTTTTGTTTTCTGCGTTTTGTTGCATTGATATTCATGGCGCTACATTGCATTGTGTGTTGCATTGTGTATTCTAATGGGTAGCACAACCTTTCAATTTTAACATAAATGCTATGCTTGTATTCCGGCATTTCTTTCATGTCTAGCCATACAATTAAGCTTTCAGCCCTTTTATGCAAGAGTGGACCACCAACATATTTCTTGTTCATTTTGAAAGGCCTTGCCATCAGTATAGTTTGCTGAACATAGAAGTGTAATTTTAGAAGTTCAATACTAATGCCCTTTTGAATTCGTTAATGTGATTGAGCTGCTATAATTAGGTTTTGCCTCCATTACCAGCATACAGTTACCATAAAACTAAAAGGCAGAGTACTCATAGGCTATCTTTGCATTAGAGGGTATAATCAACTGTGGCAGCAAGGTCCGGGGTTTCAAAATTGGTGGGTGGTCCAACTGTATCAATTGGGCCATTTTGCTACACTTGCATAACGCTGCACCTTGCGGCACACAATCGATACAGCTTGTGCCAATTGTGCCAGAGTTCACTAGTCCACCTGTTTGCACAGCGTATGACTGTTTATGGTCCAAAAATATCCTTGGTCTGGCAACAAACTTAGCTAGAGCTACTCTTCAATGCCGCCGATGTCCCCTACACGTTGATGCACTTTTTGCTTTTTGTCTCTATATTCAGCTTAACCGAAGTCCCTGTGCCACCGGGTGTGTCTCCGTTGTTGAAAGTTTAGCATGCTGTCGATAGTCTTCTTATTTCTTTGAGAATTCGCAAGAACATGTAGGAAATATATTTTTTGCCTTCGCCAGTCAGCCCTTACCCCGTATTATACTCACCAAGGCCAAGCGGCAGCCTATTGCGCGCTGTTAATGGTGTCTTCCCACAAATGGAAATTTGGCCATGCAAAAGCTTGTTGAATATTTTGCAAAAATAAAAAGAAATGTAGTTGCACAGCGTTTTTCTGCATGCCTATCGCAAAGCTAAGCTACACGCTCGTGTTGGATGCATCTGGCACTGGTTCAACTGCTGCTAGTGAGGGTCTGAAAAATTGTTGTGTGTCTTGATTGTGAAATCAGTGTAACACAGTGGCACACTAGTGCATGCAGAAACTGAGCCGCGTGATTGGCCTCAAATGAAGAACAAGTGCTCTTGTGCACCCTAAACTCCGTTGAAACGATCGCTGTTGCCGTCGTCAGTCAACTGCAAAGGGGCCGAGCTGATTCCCTCCTAGTTTTTGAAAACTAAGCTTGCAAGCGTGCTTAATGTGGCCACCGTTCGCAAATCACACTTAGACAAACATTGAGCAGCACTGTCGAGAGAAATAATCGCAGTTCACAAAATACCAAGCTGCACCATGTAATGGATTCGATAAAGGACCCCTGAGAGTGAGTTTTGTTTATGACTTTTACACCGATAGCTGTTATGAGATCACAACATGGCCCCCCCGTCTAGTGGCCAAAGTACTCGGCTGCTGACCCGCAGGTCGCAGGATCGAATCGCGGCCACAGTGGCTGCATTTTTGATGCAGGCAAAAATGCTGTAGGCTTGTATCTTCAGATTTGGGTGCATGTTAAGGAACCCTAGGTGGTCTAAATTTCCGGAGCCCTCCACTACGGCCTCTCCCATAATTGTATGGTGGTTTTGAGCTGTGAAACCCTACATATCGGTCAATCAGATCACAACACCGATTATGTGGGACACCGTTAGCTATCCGCGGCCGCCGCTGGTGTCTGTACTACTAGTGCACAAAATGAAAAAAAAACTGTAAAAATACTAAAAACACTGTGGGATTTGAACCTGGGTTACCTGCGTGCTAGCCCAATATTCTACCACTGAGCCACGCTGGTGCTTGGAACTCACCTGCAAACTTGCGTTACGCAGGCTTGATGTCGAGAAAAAAAAATCGCGGTAGTATGAGTTCTAAAGCGTTTTATGTCGGCAAAGGAACAACGAGGCAACACAGGATGATGCGAATCGTGCAACGAGTGGGTTGTCTGATGCTCCTACCTATTACAAATGCTTGTTCTTGATCACCTTTTAACTGTGGCGCATACCCACTTCAGGCACAATTTCTCAGCGTTGTCAGCCACTGCATGAACGATGGGCACAAAATTCCTTGCAAGTGTTTAGCCGATACCACGCTTCTCAGAAGAATAAAGAAAAATGGCATAGTGAATACTGGCCTAGTACACAAAATGTATGATCATTCATGGTGTAGTGGGTACCGAGCAAGCATGCTTGTAGCAGTTACCCAAAGAGTGTTCAGAAAAGGCTCTGAAAGGCTGTCCTTTGAGCTTTCGCTGTGACTGTGCTGCTTGTTCCGCGTAGGCCTGGCTTTTTTTTTTTACATTAACATGTAGCTCCCTTAGAAGTAAAAAAAAAAATAAAGCATTCCTGATGTAATAAAGCATTCCTGACTCCCTTAGAAGTAAAAAAAAACTAAAGCATTCCTGATGTAAGCAGCTGAAGCCACCTTGAGAGCTGCATGACAAGAGAGCAAGAGGGGTGACGAACAATTGTTCTTGCCTTGTGCTGGTCGGGGTACTGTGGGCACCCTGAAGATGTTATTTTTTTTTATTTGAAACATTATCCGTAGTGCCATCTTGGATATTATTGCGGGGGGGGCACAGTGCCTCATTGAATGAATCCGTAGTCTTGCAGCCAACTAAATCAGCTGGTAATATATTCCATTTGACAATGTCTTGCGCAAAAAACGGATTCTTAAACAATTGGTTGTATGACCATACTTTAAATTTGTGTTCATGATGAGAGGATTGATAATGCGCTGGTTTTAAATATTCTGAAGGATTAATGCCTCTTTTCTTATTTTAGATTGAACAAAATAGTTTCAATCTTAGGTTACGTCTTCGATCTTGTAAGTATTGCCAATCAAGTTCTCTTTTCATACATTGGGAGCTTTCGGTTTGGTCATATTTTTTCAGAACAGATCTTGCTGCTATCGACTGAATGCGCTCTGTGGATGAATGTGTACTTTGTGAAACAGATCCCACACAGGACAGGTGTATTCCAGTATTGGTCTGACATAGGCGTAATATGCTGCCTGTTTAACCTCCTTGGTTACATGTTTAAGATTTCTTTGTAAAAAGCCTAGGGCTTATCCAGCTCTGTTGAGAACACTGGCAATGTGTTCAGATCATCCCCCACCCTTAGAAAACGTGGCGCCCAAGTACTTGTATTTGTGTTCTTTCCTAATAACTTCGTTGTTTAAGATGTACTGATTTGTAAATATTTTGGCCCTTTTGGTGAAACTGACGTGAATGCATTTATTAGTATTTAGTACCGCGTCATTATTTTTACACCATACCTCCGCGTGATTTAGTTCATCCTGTAGCTGGGTGGTCAGTCAGTTCAGTGTACACACTCAGCGG